GTCATCCTAGACGTGACCATACTCAGCTTTCATTCTCTACATGAGAAGACCAAGATTCTGTGCTTGAACGGGGGAGGAAACTGACCTGGTCCTCATTTCCTCTCAGGTTACGTGACACTAGACAAGTCACCTGCCCCTTCCACGCTCTGTTTTGTCAACTTTAGATCGTGGTTGTCGGATCTGAAGTCCCCCGGGGCTGGTCCACTTCTGAGAGCTGGCGTTTGAGTGTGTTTCACTGACCCCGGGTCTTTTACTCCGGGTGAGATAAGGTAGAGGTGCTTTAGCAAAGCCTTCTCTCAGACAGCAGCTGCACTGATAGGAACGTGCTCAAAGCCCCGGCTCTGCTCTGTCTCAGGGAAGATCCAACCACGATCCAAGCTCATTTGGCAGGATTTTGTCTATACTTTGGGTAGTTCTCTGTGCCTGGGCAGCACTGAACCTGGCCTTGTAAACTTACTTTCCTATAAGGAGAGCAAGGTTTTATGTAGACAGTATTTATATTTATAGTGATACTTCTTGTTTATCAGGAGAATAGAAAACCATTAATTAATTCCCACAGGGAATGCGGTGGTTATGGTGATTTGGTCAAATAGTAGAGCAGTATGGGATTCTCTCTAAGAAACCAAATAGTGGGTCTTTTATCGGGTTTGTCCAATGTACAACAGTGAGGATAAAGGGACAAGAGCTGAATAGTGGACGTAACTGGCTAATTTTAAAAATATTCCCTTTATAAGAAGAGGTGGACGAGGAAGAGGAGACGGAGGAGCTACATGTATGAAGGAGCCTTGTCAGAAACCTGGTATCCATAATTTTAGGGAATCCCTTCATGATGCCAGATGATACCAAGGAAATCAGGGTCCCCTTTGGGGGCTCTTAGTTTCATTAGTAAGGGAATCTAAGAACAAACTCAAATAGAACCTCAAGAATAATTTTTACTAGAGTTTAAAAGAAGAACTTAGAGTTGGAGAGATGTCCCAGCTGTTAAAAGTACTTGCTGCTGTTGCTGAGGACCCAGGTTCTGTTCCCAGCCCCCACACAGCAATTTACAACTGCCTGTAACTCCAGCTCCAGGGAACCCAATACCGTCTTCTGGCCTCCAGAGTCACCTGGTACACATACATGCATGCAGACACTGGTCCATACAGCCACATACAGGGAGGGGAACTTTAGAGAAAGTGTAAAGAAGCCCACAGCTAGCATGCTTAGAAAAAAGAAGAAAGAAAAGGAAAAGTTATACTTTTCCGAGATATTCAGAAGTTGGATTTTATTCTCTTGATGAGAAGAAGTTTTCCCTTAATGTGCTTTGATTGCTTCTCTAGCAACAAGGCAGCTCTCTGCTCCAGGATGGCCAAGAACTGGAAGAGGTAGGCCACTGAGAACAGGTGACCAGGAGTAGATAAATCTTGGTCCCTTCCTGTTGTGCCCTCTGCTTCCCAGTCACCAAGAGATAAAGAAGCTTCCCCACCACACCCACCACACTTCCATCACCACACCACCATCAACACCGCCACCACACCACCATCACCATATCACCACATCACCATCAACACTACCACCCACCACCTCCACACCACCATCACTACACCACCACACACCACCTCCACACCACCATCACTACACCACCACACACCACCTCCACACCACCATCACTACACCACCTCCACACCACCATCACTACACCACCACACACCACCTCCACACCACCATCACTACACCACCACACACCACCTCCACACTACCATCACCACACCCCACCATCAACACCACCCTACTACCATCACCACACCACCACCCACCACACCACCATCAACAACACCACAATACCACTACCACCACACTACCATCACCACCACCTCCACACTACTATCACTATACCACCACCCAACACCATCACACCACCATCACCACACCACCACCACCACCACCAAAATGTTCTGCCTCACTATGGGCTCAGAAGCATGGAGCCAAGTGACCATGAACTAAGCCCTCTGAAACCACAAAGCAAACTGAATCTCACCTCGTTCCACTGTCTCTCTCAGGGTTTGTCACACTAATACAAAAGGAACAAACAGCTTGAACAACACAGCTTGCGAGAACCACAAAGTGTCTCCCCCTTCCCCTCTACTGACAGGCTTTTCTTCTCAAATCCTGGACCGTGGTGGAAGTGGTCATGGCAAAGACTGAAGGGGGCACACGACATTTCTGTTTCCATGTCTCCTTGTTCCCAGGATAGACTTCTCAGGTGAGCGTTGCTTGAGGGGAAGTCTTCCTTTTCCTCCATGAAGCTCTCTCAGGAGGTGTACTGTACTTCAATTCACTATGTACCTTCCTTGGCTCTTTCTGCTGTCAAGGGTTGACTACAAGTCTAGCAATTCTAAAGAAGCAAGTTTATAAACCAATGAGCAGACACTCGGCAATGTTATACTCTCAAAGCCACAGTCAAGTGTGTAAGTGGCATTGTGTGTCTATTGTGTCAAATATTATGAACTGAAAACATAACTGAGTTGAATGAGTATTGGCAGGAAAGTTTCCTTCTTATGCAAATAGTTTTCTATTTGGTTGAGTCTGAAAATGGCTCAGTCTCTCTCAGGGCGAAAAATGTATGCGTGGGATACGTTGTACTGAAGAGCATGATGTCAAGTATCAAAATCTTCCGATCTGAACCTGGCTCTGCTAATCATTAGCCCCAGACCTTGGACAATGTCCTCATCTGGAGAGAGAAACAAGAGCCAGTCTAACCTCACAGGGCAACGGTTGTGAGTTTGCAATGAATTGATATGTGTAAAGTGCTTAGCTCCAAGCCTGGAATGCAGCCATTACTTAATAAATATAAACATCATCATCATCGTCATCGTCATTATTGTCTTCATTGTTATTTTATACAGAGAAAAAATGAAGTAGAAATTCAGCAACTCCCAAGAAAAAGAAAGGACTTCTCAAAGTCGTGGGAAAGATCTAGGAGAAGGAAACACTAGACTAAGAAGAAGACGGGAGAAATAGATGTATTGCTCTGTTTATTAAAACTTACCAGTCATTTCAGACTCTGAAGTCTTCCTTGGCCAAGCACGGAACACTAACTATCCAGCCCCCTGGAGGCCTCACTTTAAAATGATTGTAATTACAATCAAATTGGTCCTAAGCCAATCAAACGAGCCTGGCATGCCAGTCATACAGTGCTTTTCAATGTCGTGGTCTTATTTTTTTTTTTTTTCATTCCTTTAATTTATGGTAATCTAATGTGTGCTCTGGGTGCTCTATTAAACTGGTCCGGTCAAACCCTTTTAAAAAGTTTCCAGCCCTTCTCAAACACTGGCTGTATCCACCAGCAAGGGCGGCTAGAAGGTGGAGGGCGGACGGGAGGGGAATGCTTCAGAATAGTGGGCCATTATTCCCTTTGTCATATTTTGGTTTCTTTAAAATTGCTCACTTGCATTTAAGTCCCCAAGAGCCATGAAAATTATGTTGAACAATAGCGGGACTTGTGAAAAGGCTCCACAGATAGCATCTGAAATATACAAGCCCTTGAACCCTTTTGCATCCAGTAACATCTGACAGGCTTTGTGAGAGGCAGCCACCTGCAGGAGTTCTAAAATAGATGCTTCCAGGAAACAGAGAACTCTCAGCACTGATGTGTTAATATCATGCTCGCAACTACTTGACCTCTGACCTAAGTAGCACTAGCAAGATGACTGAAGCCACAGTAAAAGAGAGAATTGAGCTGTCATTCATATATTTTGGGCCACAACTGGGGAAAAAAAAAAAGAGACAACTACGGAGGGGAAATTTTTTTAATGGTATCCATTTGCAGATTGTCAACCCAGCTGAAGTTCACCACATCGTTAGCTGATCTCCACTTTTCCTGTGTGTGTCAGCTTAGATTTTCTTTCGTGCTCTCTCTCTCTCTCTCTCTCTCTCTCTCTCTCTCTCTCTCTCTCTCTCTCAGCTTAGATCTTCAACAGTTTACTTGCTGTTTGGGTGTGGTAGGAAACCAGGAACTGGGGTCAGGAAAATGTGTATCATGGTGATTTTGGAGAGTTTTCAAAGCATAAAATAAAATATGCAGAAATAAATACTGGTTTAAAAAATGCTTAGAAACCCTGATGAGAAAAAAAAAAAACACCCTCCAACATAATGGAAACTTCATTAAAGCTAAAAATGATATACAACTCAGGGTAAATCAATAACTTCTACTGATCGAACCCAAGTTCCTTTCGATAGTCACATCCCAGCTGTCTCTCTCTCTCTCTCTCTCTCTCTCTCTCTCTCTCTCTCTCTCTCTCTCTCTCTCTCTCTCTCCTTTTCAAACCGTCAACACTGTGAAGCCAACCCAGCTGTGGAGAAGGGCGAAGGCAGCTGTATGATATTCTGCCTCCCACTTCGTCAGCCAAATTGTCTGCCCAGTTTTCCTTCTCCACCTCGGCTGCAGGGTTAGAGCGATGCCATGGCTGGGGACGGCTTCTGCCAGTCAATGCTGTGTTGACGGGCTTGCTCTCTCCTGGACCCCTTCCCATCGTCTTTCCTCCCCTGTAGCCTTTGGTCTGTTCCCCAGTGGCATCTTCTCTTTTTTCTTTTTTCTGGAAAGATCATATGCACAAGACAATGTAACTACATCCCACATCAAGAAAAGGCTGATTCCTGATAATTTCCTTAAAATGTAGTCAGAAGCATAATTCCACAGTCCACAGCTCCTCTTCCTTCTCTTCCTCTTTTTCTTTCATTCTTTGTTGATAACTGTATAGTATCCTTACATGGAATGGCCTTAGCTTCATTTCACCATTTTTGGACTTAGCTATAAGCAAGAGCAGGAGTATCTCTGCACAGGTCCTTATCTTCATCTCTGACTCTTTCCATCAGGAAGGCTGTAAGTGGCATTGCTGACTAAAAGGCTAGTCACTTTTTAAAAATATTTGTTTAATTAATTTATTTATTTTACTTCCCAACCACAGCCTCCCCTCCTCCCCTCCTCCCCTCCTCCCCTCCCACCCCCCTCCTTATTCCCTTGAACATCAGCAAAGCATGGCCTATCAAGTTGCCATAAGACCAAGCGCCTCCCCCTGTCTTCAGTCTGGGCAAGGCAGTAGTCCATCCAGCATGAGGAAAAGCTCCCAATGTACAACATCCCACAACCCTCGAAAGCCAGTCAAAGCACCAGGGATAGCCCCTGCTCCAATTACTAGGAGTCCCACATACAGATCAAGCTACACAGCTGTCTCATATACGCAGAAGGCCTATATAAGTCCCGTGCAGGCTTTCTGGTTGTTGGCTCAGACTCTGTAAGTTCCCATGAGCCAGGCAAGCCATTTCTGTGGGTTTTCCTGTGATATCCCCACCCCCCTGGCTCCTACAATCTCTCCTCCCTCTCCTCAGCAGGACTGCCCCAAGATCTTGGACGGGAGGCTATTCACTTTCTAAAGGCTTGTGATGAATAGTTCCAAATAGTTTTCTTTTCAAGATCTATGAGTGTTTCCTTTTTCCTTGGGGATAATGTGGAAACCACTGTACCATCTCAGAGTTCTGTTTCCCAGCTGCATCTGCTACAGTTTGGAGTCATGGTTTCCTGACTAAGGACTAAGGCAATGGCAATGAATCTCAGGATTTGGGACACTAGCAGGTTCTTCATCGATGCTCATGGCCAAGAAGCAGAATAGGTGTCCATGGAGATTGTGAGCACGTAGGGTAAGGGACTTGGACTTATCCTCTGAGACAATGGCAGAGTGCGGGGAGATCATGTCAGCTGTGATCATCCATCAAGCTGGTCCCTAAAGAGCTTGGGGAGAGAGAAGACGTTAGTGAAAAGAGATTATAATGCTGAAGGGAGGATTTGAGAAGGTCAAGGTCACAGAGGGCATAATCGTTAGCAAGGCTTCAAAGGAGTTGAGCCAAGCTTGCTGTTGGGTACCTAAGGATTGTTTGAGTTTTCAGTTTTCACACATTTGAATATCTCCAATTATACTGGCACTTCTTATTTAAACATTGAAGCTTGTACATGTGCATATGTGTTTAGAGATTTAATACATGCAATGTCCTAAATATCACCTGTGCAAACTATATGATTTCATTTGATAAGATATGTGGGACTTCCTTGTAGATACTGAAGATAATTATAAAATCATCTCTAATCATTACCACCTAATGCACTCTACACTTCCATAGAGTCTGCCTTACACTTACATTTATGCATACGCCTGAGTGAAATAATAATCAGTGTGGCCACACTTGTATGTACATGCTATTATCTTGTAACTTTCTGAGAGGGGACCACATTGAAAAATTTAAAGTAGAAATAAATCCTGCCAAATATAAACTCCTTGTTGGTCATTCCAGTAAGAGTCCACTCACTTTCTGGAGGCTTAGTCTTTCATAGTTTGAGGGGAAGGGCGTTTCCGACAGTGGTTTTGTATCCCTTCTGCACCTCCATCGGTAACAACATCGAATGTTACAGCAGAATCTGAGAGCCAAAGGCTTCCTGTTGACTCTCCGGCACAGCCCACTTATTGTATTGGGTGTGAAAATAGATCAAAGCCCTTGACCTTGTTCTTGGTTTCTGTGGTCCTTAATCAGAGATGATCTTTTTTGAATTACTTCTAGAAACTTGCATGCAAGTGGTTTAAACTGAAAACCTTCTTAATAGCAGCTCCACTCATGAATAGTCTATGACAATCTCTTTCACCAAGATGTTGGCTTTGGGGAGAAAAGCTTTAGACAACCTAAGTAAAGCAGGAGCATGGGAGGAGCCAGATGGAGGAAGAGTGCCAGCCTTGGGTTTGACCTCCCGATTCCTCAGGTGAGAGGAGACCTCTGCTCTGCCGCTCAGGACCCCTTGGTGAGTAGGACTTTTATTTAAAGCCAACTATTTGAAGGTCAGCTTCCACCTTTTAGGTTTCTAATGATGTCAGAGGCAGAAAGAGCACAGCTTGCCTCTTGAATTTCAGGCGCAGACCGTTTCAGAAATAAGCAAAAAGAAAAGAAAAGGAAACAAGAAAGAAAGAAGGAAAAAAAAACCCTTTGGCTCACAAAGTAAGAATCTTTGAAAGGAAAGTTGTGCAGGGGAGTAAATATGGAGGCACACAATGCGTCCAGAGCCACAGTTGAGAACACAAGCCACTGCCTCTCTGTGACAGAAAGCCAAGAGGTGTTATGTTCCTTAATTAAAACGGAGCTCAAGAGTCGGTGGGAGGCACCCGCACAGCCCCTACCTGAAGATACCAATGTACAGAGAAACTTCCAGCCGGGGCACTCACACAGAGGACGTGTGGGCAATTGTGAGTTTCTTTCAAACTCGGCCTCTGTCTGTCATACCTATGTAGTTACAAAATCAAAGGGGATAATAAAGTTCAATTGTATATTCACAGTTTGATATTTCTATTGATAGGTCTCACACACACAAAAACGCCATTTCGGGAAACTGAATCTGTGTCCCTCCATGAAAGCGCTGAAAGGCTCTCCTGGGCAGCCAGTCCCCACCCAACAAGCCCATCAAATCTTAGCCTATGAAGTGGTCCTGGCGAGGTTCAAAGGTGTCAAATTGGGCCTCCTCTCCCCAGGTTCTGTCCATGGTTTTAAAATATCCCTCTGATGGTGAAAGGAAGACACCCAGACCAGCACAGAACTGAATTAAAATCTAGCTCCTGAGTAGAGGGAGAGCCATTAACCCAACCATCACCAAAGCGCTGAGGGGGGACAGGAGTCCCTGTGGGGTACCAGGCAGGGCTAGGCTGGGAGCCACCCTCCTCCCTGCCCAGCACCCTTGCCTCCAAAATGGAGATACTGCCAACTCTGAAGGGTTTTCTCATTTTAAAAACATCAATGTGTTTTGCTACTACGGAAATATTCTGGAAAATCAGCACGCAGGTGCCTCTAATTTTTTGAGATTTTTCTTGGAAAAGAAGAGTGGGTGTTTGAGTAGCTTCAAAACCAGCCAGTCTGTTCTTGCGACAGTGTATGGGACTCGGCTCATGGCAGAGTGGAGAGCATCTGAATGCAAAAAAATTAAATGGAGGAACTGGGCGGGGGGGGGGGAACAGGTGCTCTTTTATAAAGGCTAAATTCCATATTTACCAAACTGATTTGCATGAGGCATGTTTTCAATGAAAATATTGCCACTCATTTTGCTGCATTTGTGCAACAGAAACATAAGGACGGAGCAGCAGAGGGGTGCGGCTCTCAAGCTGGATTTGTGCACCTTCCCCTCAGCCCACAGTTCGGCAGCACATTCTGGAGGGTAGCTCTCCCAAGTGCTGCTCCCACAGCCAAGAAAGCAGGACTTCGAGATTCCTGTGACCCCAAGAGGCAGCCTCTGGGTCAAGAGCTAGATAAGTATGTGAAGATGGGGAATATCTAATCCCAGCTCTTGGATGCTGAGGCAGGAGAATAGTGAGTTTTAGGCCAGCAAAAGAGAGAGGGGAAGAGAGATGTGAGCAGTCCTTTGTTCCATGGACCACTGTCAAGTCAGAACCCATAAAACAGCTCAGGAAAAACTTCTGAGTTAATTCCATGGCTTAGTAAGCCAAGCTGGCGTTGACTATTATTGGCAAGACTGGATTTCTCTGGTCTTAAACCTTATACTTTATGTCGTCTTCATGTAAATTCACAATGAAGAAGGGCTGTTAATTATGTGACATCACACTGCAATCTGGAATCAACCCTCTGAAGAAACCATCCCCACTGTATAGATAAAGAAATGGAGGCAGAGAGAAATGGGGGACATGCCCTGTGGCCCTGAGCTGCTAGGGCTGGACAGAAGCTTTAGCCCTGGGCTGCTGAGTCCAGAGTGGGAGTCACTTCACCCCGGGACGCTTGCTGGGCACTTACTGTCCACAGCACACCACAGACATGCAAGAGAACCAGAAATGAGTCAGTGGTGGAGAGGTTGGGAGAATAAGCGGCCCGTGGAAGGTACTAGAGCAATGCTCCAGAGGGCCATGTTAACACACGTGGGAGGTGGTGAGCTGACTCCATGAGTAAGGCCAGTCACCTGAGTGCTTATTACCTCTGTTTCCCCGGTGTCAGGGTGAACCCAGTGGTACTGATTTTAGGCAATTCTTCAAGGGGCCGAGGAGTTCTGAGCTCACTGCGGAGCTCCTCATAGTCCCTGTGAATATGCTCCAAAAGGAACTCTGAGGAACCTTTGACCAAGAGATGGAGGGGCTGGAGAGATGGCTCAGTGGTTAAGAGCACTGACTGCTCTTCCAGAGGACCTGGGTAGACTCCTAGCACCCACATGGTGGCTCACAGCAATCTGTAACTCCAGTTCTAGAGAGATTCAACATCTTTTTCTGATCTCCTAGGGCATCAGGCATGCACATGGTGCATAGGCCTACATGTAAGCAAAATACTCATACATGTAAAAATTTATAATAGATCTTTAAAAAGAAAGAAGTGGAACTCCAAAATCTCTCTCTCTCTCTCTCTCTCTCTCTCTCTCTCTCTCTCTTATAGAGAGATCTTATAGAGATCTCTTATAGAGAGAGAGAGAAATATATATATATATGTGTGTGTGTGTGTGTGTGTGTGTATATATGTATGTATGTATGTATGTGTGTGTCCTTCCTTTCCTTTTCTTTCTTTCTTTCTTTCTTTCTTTCTTTCTTTCTTTCTTTCTTTCTTTCTTTCTTTCTTCCTTCCTTCCTTCCTTCCTTCCTTCCTTCCTTTCTTTCTTTCTTTCTTTCTTTCTTTCTTTCTTTCTTTCTTTCTTTCCTTCTTTCTTTTCTTTTTTGGAGACAAACTCAGAACTAATCCAGGCCTCCTGCAGGGTTTGCAGGGAGGGTTCCTCCCCTTTGAGATGGAAAGGTTCCAGGTAGAACCTCCAGGTTCAAGGTAAGTTGGTGCCCAGCCTTTGCAGACAGCGAGTATGGTGGTACTTCCTAGCAGCCTGAGGGAAGACATTGGCGATCTACACAGGGCACAGCCTTGAGAATGTCGGTGTGGACATCTGAGGCCCAAGAGAACTTGGATTTCCCCACAGCTCAACTGGCCTGAGACAGCCATCTTTTCCTCTCAAGGCCCATCGGACCCACTCATTCATTGCCCGACCTACTTTTCATAGCTGTGTCAGCTCCATGCTAGGAGCCATACTGGTGTAAACTGGAAGCTTGTTTGATACCCCCTCTCAGAACATTTCTGCTTATTTAATCACCAAAGCTGACCGTGGGGAGAGTGGACACTGGACAGAGAGAATGCAAGACCTCCCCACGTGGGCTCTAGCACACTCAAGCGCCCTTGGGCCATCAGAAACTTGTCCTTTGAGATTTCCTTACTGGATGTGGAGTTCCCTGAGAGAAATTGTTAGGATGCTGTATGTGCATGAATATGGTGTTAAGGGTACATTTTCAGGGGAGATGTTTGAACAAACTTCTATTTACTAGGACACCAACAACAGATCAAGGAACCAATTCCATTCATGTCTAGACTGGTGATACAATGGGTTTAATTAAATTTCCTTACAGGAGTGTGGGTGAGGGGTTACTTACAGGCTCAGGGGCTCCTTACACTACTGAAGAAAAAAACTATCTCCCTCAGCAATTGTTTGTTAACTGTCCATAAGTCCTTAAGTGATGGGGCCTTGTGACCCCTCCTCCTGGGCGATGGAAAGATACCAGATCCAATCTTGTGCTGGTTTCCTTGGGAGACTCAAGATCACTGACAGTTCACAGGGCCACAGCCATGTCGTCCCCAGAGGACGTTCCAGGACAAATGGTCTTCCTTACTGGGAGACAAATCAGGGTCTCACTGGGTGAGATGACATACGCCTGTAATCCCAGAACTTGA